AAAAACTGTTTTAACATCCATTTGATGTATTTCTAGATTATACAAAGTTGCAATCACAATTAACATGCGAATATATATTATTCTTGTCATTGGTAAATAGGTGTCAATAATCAAAGCCTTTCTTTTGCCTGTATCCCTTAATAACAAGCCTAGCATTGTATTTATCAATTGAACCATCTGCTTTCATTTTTCTCTTCAACATTCACTTATATCCAAAAGGTTTACACCCTGGTGGAAGATCTACCAGTTCCCAAATATGATTTTGCAAAATTGATTCAATTTCACTATTCACATCTTCTTTCCAAAATGGAGCTTTAGGACTTGACATTGTTTCATTGAAGTTTTGAGGCTCATTTTCTAACATGTATGCCAGAAAATTTGGACCAAATGATTTAGAGATCCTAGCCCTCTTGCCATGTCTAGGTTCATCTACTTCATTATCATTGTGGTCTTCACTACTACTCATAGCAGTATCAAAAGTTCTTTTATTTGAACTTTTCTCTTCAGTTTCCTTGCAAAGAAAATATGTTCAAAAAAATACGCATTCCTTGACTCAATAATAGTGTTTACATGCATATTAGGATTTTCAGATCTATGAACTAAAAATCTGTATGCCTATTATTTACATAACCAATGAACACACAATCAACGATTTTTGGTCCTATCTTAGTTGTTTTGGGACTAGGGATTGTTACCTTAGCCAAACACCCCCACACTTTAAGGTAATTGTAGGTAGGCCGTCGACCTTTTCATACTTCATAAGGTGTTTGATTGATTTTCTTGTGGGGTACTCTGTCAAGGATAAAATTAGCAGACAAAATCGCTTCCCCCCACAAGTTCTGAGGTAACCCTGAACTAATCAACATGGCATTCATCATCTCTTTAAGAGTTCAATTCTTTCTCTCAGCAACTCCATTTGATTGAGGAGACTAGGGGGCAGTGGTTTGGTGAATAATACCATGTTCAAAACAAAATTTCTCAAATAGTGCATCATACTCACCACCTCTGTCACTCCTCAATATCAAGTGCAATCATCAATAAAAGTAATAAAGTACTTCTTACCTCCTCTAGTTTAAACAAATTTTAAATCATAGATATCTATGTGAATTAAACTTAGAGGTACAGTACTTCTTTCTACTTTATTAATGACGCTTTAGTGAGTTTTGTCTCAATACAAATCTCACATTTATGATTATGATCAAATTCTAAGTTTGGCAAGCATTCTAAAATTTACATGTCCTAATCTACCATGTTATAAAAAATAAGATTCAACAATATAAATAGAAGATGTGTTCTTATTATTAATAGCTAAATTTGGTACAACAATATTTACATTGAGCTGAAAAAGCCCATCACTCATATAACCTCGCCTCACGTACATGCCACTCTTGGAGAGTACAACCTTGTTAGATTCAAAGACTAATTTAAATCCATTCTTGATCAACAATGACCCAAAAAATAAATTTTTGCAGATTTCTAGCACATGGAGTACACTGTTAAGCGTGAGTTCTTTCCCGAGGTCATTTTCAGCACAATCTTTCCTTGTCCTTCCACAGTTGAAGTGAAGGAGTTTCCCATAAAGAGTTGTTTCCCACTTTTCACCACTTTGTAGGTTGTGAACATCTTCTTATCTGCACAGATATGGCGGGTTGCTCTAGTATCCAGCCACCACTCCTTGGGATTGCCCACCAAATTTACTTCAGAGACTACTGCAGCAAGATTGATGTCTGCCACTTCATTGGAAAGATAAAAATCCTTGGCTATGTTGGTTTGTGCTGGCTTTTTGCTTGAACTCTCTCCGTCCTTGCGAACGTGACAATCCTTAGTGCGATGTCTATCTTTGCCGCACACAAAACACTTGCCTTTGAACCTCTTGTTGAACCCGTTGTTGATCCCTTTGATGATCTTACTAGTGGATCCTTGGTTGGGACCATTGCCATCATGCTTCCGCTTTTCTTTTTTTTTTGTTGAACTTTGACCGTTGTCCATGTTCCACAACATTTGCTTTAGCCTGCATGACATGGTTTCTTGACTTCTTGTCAGAATCACGGTTGTCCTCCTCAATTCTGAGCCGCACTATTAATTCCTTCAATTTCATCTCCTTGTGCTTATACTTCAGATAATTCTTGAATTCTTTCCAAGATGGTAGCAACTTTTTAATGATTGCCGCTACTTTGAAAGTTTCATTGAAAATCATCTCTTTTGCATGTATGTCATGGAGAATTAATTGGAGATCTTGAACCTAACTAATAACTATTTTGGAATCCATCATTTTAAAATCCAGAAAATGATCGACAACAAATTTCTTTGTACCGGCATCCTCTGTCTTATATTTATGATCTAGAGATTCCCACAGGTCTTTAGTAGTGCTTTTGACACTATACACATTGTACAGTATATCGTCTAACTCATTGAGGATATAATTCCGACATAGAAAATCACCATGTTTTCATGCATTGACTGCGGCAACCATTTGTCGGTCAGTTTCTCCCTCGTTCAATGCCGGTGCTTTTTCATGAGTGAAACGAGCCAAATTCAATGTGGTAAGATAAAACATCATCTTTTGTTGCCATCTTTTAAAATCATTTCTATTTAACTTTTTAATGATTGCCGCTACTTTGAAAGTTTCATTGAAAATCATCTCTTTCGCATGTATGTCATGGAGAATTAATTGGAGATCTTGAACCTAACTAATAACTATTTTGGAATCCATCATTTTAAAATCCAGAAAACGATCGACAACAAATTTCTTTGTACTGGCATCCTCTGTCTTATATTTATGATCTAGAGATTCCCACAGGTCTTTAGTAGTGCTTTTGACACTATACACATTGTACAGTATATCGTCTAACTCATTGAGGATATAATTCCGACATAGAAAATCACCATGTTTTCATGCATTGACTGCGGCAACCATTTGTCGGTCAGTTTCTCCCTCGTTCAATGCCGGTGCTTTTTCATGAGTGAAACGAGCCAAATTCAATGTGGTAAGATAAAACATCATCTTTTGTTGCCATCTTTTAAAATCATTTCTTTTGAATTTTTTTGGCTTCTCCCTATGATTTACCAATATTGTCGAAGTCATCACTGGCACAACAGGTGTGCGGGTTTGAGTAATAACAATCTCAATACTGTTTATTTCAGTTGTCATAATTTTGACAAAATATTAAGACAGCAATCACAAATTTATACAAAAAAGAATTTACACACAAAAAAATATAGAATAATATTTTGTAACAAAATTCCAATGATAAACAGTATATTACTACTGTGTCATCAAATAAATCATTAAACAATATATGACTACTATTTAATTTTTTGAAACAAAATATTCGTCTGTCTAACACAGAAAAAAATAAAAATGAAAATCTACTTTAAGATTATTACATTCAGCGGTGTGCGTGTGTAAATTAAATGTATAATTAAAATAAACAACAAAATAAAATAATTGAGAAAAAAAATTATATAAATTAAATTTCGAATTAAATGCTTACAGAAATTAAAGTTGAGGTTTGTGTTGGACATAATCTCCTTAGAATAGATTTTGCCCTTGCTCCAATGTTTCGAGTTTTAATGGAGTCTACTTCCTAGGATGTAACGACTACTACTTGATTTGCAGCACTACAAAATCATGTCTTGTGAACCAAATTATGTTGTAACTCTTTCTCTTTCTTTTCCTAAAAAAAAAAAATGCAAAAACAGATCCTAGAGCACAGAAGAACGAACTAAAGAAAAAAAGGTAGAAGTTTGGAAATTTTTCGATGCAAATAAATACTGGAATGGCAGGGTATATATAGGAAAATTGGTGGCTATTCGAATAGGTGCCAACAAATAAGCAACTGTTGGGATAGATTCAGAAAAAAAAAAAAAAAAAAAAAAAAAAAAAAAAAAAAAAAAAAAAAAGAGTGGTTTTTTTTTTTATCAACACCCAAAAAAATTCCCAAAACCTTTATTGATGAAACAATCAATCCTGTTAAGCAGGCCTTCGGTAGTCACGGATTACTGGCCGGTTACGGTGCTAAACCCACAGGGACGGGTTTGGGTCCTGACAATGACTGGAGACAATATTCACCACATCTTCTCGGATGAACAATAATCACGCAACTTTCAGCAACAACAATGAATAATTGGTATAGGTAGTTTCAGTAAAAGTTGGTTTTCAAATCTCAAAATATTTCATATTACTGATAAAATTTTTACTCTCTTGCATATTTGAAATACATACATGTTTATCTTGCATACTTGCCATACCATATCCTTAAATCACAGATGAGTCACGTGAAGGTAGAGGAAAAAGAGAAGAAAATAAAATTATTATTGTTTTGATATTTTGACTAAAAAGATTTTTTTTAAAGAGAGATTTTTTTTATGCACAAAAATGTTTTAAAAAAATTGTGATTTAATTTCAACTTTAATCATTTTGATTAAGCCACATTATAATGAAGATGATTTTTATGATATAGTACATTGATATTTTTCCTGTGAGCTAATATTTGATTTATGTGTTACATTTTAAAAAATTCAAAAATAACATTCTAAACCCTTAATTGATCATGACACCAATTGAAATCTTCTCATATTTTGAGTTTATCTATTTTCACTAAAGATAAAAGAGGAGAGTGAAATATAATAATCACTACAAGAATTTACACATTTTGCGACCACTTTTGCCAACCAAAAAAATTTTGGTCGTAAAAAAATGACATTTGGCGATCAAATATTAATTAGTCGCGAATGATCATTATTTTTGGCGACCAAATATTATTGGTCGCAGAAGGTTATATTTTGGCGACCAAAAAATGAGTTGGTCGCAGAAGGTGGTATGCATTTGCTGACCAACTACAAATTTGATCGCGAAAGGTCACATAATTTTTGGCGACCAAAAATTTAGTCGTCAAAAACTTATTTTCAGCAACCAAAAAAAATTTGTCGCCAAATTTATACTTTTTGCGACTAATATTTTAGTCGCTGTTGATTGAGATTTTGCGACTAAAAAAATTTGTTGGCGAAAGTACCTTTTCTGCGACTAATATGGTCTTTTGGTCGCCAAAAGTTTGGGAGGGAAATTTGATTTTTATAGAGGCGGGAATTGAAAATTTTTGACGACAAAAAAATTTGGTCGCCATTACTAAAACGACGTCGTTTTAAAAGTACGCATTCACCTTCACATGCTCTCTCTCTCTCTCTCATTTCCTTTTGTTTGCATCGCTCTCCTACTACTGATTACCCCAACCCACTCCATCCACCAGCTCCAGCTATGAAAAAGCATATACATACACTTTCAAAACCCATATCATAAATTTCTAGGGTTTGAATTTTCAAATGCAAATCCATTCTTCTTCTTCTTCTTCTTCTTCTTCTTCTTCTTCTTCTTCTTCATGGATCAGAGAGAGAGAGATAGTGTGATAAATTGAAATTGATAATGCCAAGGCAGAATCGGGTTGTGGAGGGTTTGATTCCCGGATCCTGCAAGATCCGAAAGAGGGGTTGCTCTTCGTCTTCGTCCTCTGTGTTGCAGAATTACCAATTCAAGCGGGCCATTTTGGTGGGTAAGCCTCCGGGGTCCAAATCGAGCACTCCGGTTCCGTCTTGGAGGACGACGGCAGCGGCTTCGGATTCTCGCAAGTACGCGCCGTCGCAGAGCGGTGGTGGGAGGTCGAGGCCGGTGTCTGCGAGGAAGCTGGTCTGTTCTGTTCTGTTCTTACATAAATATGTATTTGCATTAGTTATATGGATTCATGATATTTGAATGTGAATATTTTGTGATGTATGTGTAGGGATTTCGACGTTTCTTCATGCTTGCGAGGGCGATGCAGTGACTAAGCTCACCAATGAGAAAATACCTTACTTTGATGCTCCAATTTATCTTCAAAACAAGACCCAGATTGGCAAAGTTGAAGAAATTCTTGGTCCCATCAATGAATCCGTGTGTCCTTATTTTGCCATTCATTGTTTTTTGTGGTTTGAAGTTTTTTGTTGTTTTTAGTTTTGGAATCAGATCAGACATGATTTCTGTTTTGCATTTCTGTTATTGGTAGTACTTTTCAGTTAAAATATTAGCTGAATCCCCCCATTTTAAAGTCTGGAGCAAAGTTCCAGTTTGTTTGGGGAAATGGTTCTCAAACTTCAATAGCAAAATTTAACTAGTCAAGAATACAGTTTTAAAACTACAAAATTAGTGTGATAAAGTATTTTATCGATGCAATTGAAAGAAAAAAATGTGTTATTCATGGGAGAGAAATATCCTGTTTTGCTTAGAATAAAATTTGGGCTGTTAATATTAACTTTCTGAAATGTGAAAATGTGGGTTAGAATGCTAGGTATTTGCTTGTCCAGCTTGATAACTTGTTCTGTGGCTCTTTTCTCTTTTGGTAGGTTTTATAAACAGAGTGAGGCCCAGTTTTATAGGCTTATTCCTCACCCAGTTGTGCTATTTACATTAGAAAATTTCTCATTTTGCATATGTGATATCTAGCCATACTATTAATTTTCCATTAGATCAACTAATTGTCATCAATTTACATTTTATCTTTTCCTTCTCAAGGAGTTGTCTATTTAGTTCTTGACTTCCTAACCTGTCTGTTATGTGGTTGGTGGCTCTGTTGGGTGATGCCTTGATTACAATGCAAGATGCTAAGCTTCCTTGGTGGAAGAAACCCATGTTTCTCCCAGACTTAAAATATTCATAATAAATGGGCATCTGAATGTGCTATGTAAGTATTTTACCGGCCTTTGCTAAAGTTCTTTTGTCAAACCCAATTGGTACACATTTCAGCATAGCTTATAATGTTTGCCTTGATGTTGATGTTTCTGATACAACCATGGCACACTACAGGAAAATCAAGTTTTAGCAGCGTTTTTTATTGTATTGGTTTGAAAAATGCTTATTGATGGGCTATTGTAGCGGTTATTGACCACAACTGAAAATAAAATTTTTAGTAACGTTTTTTTTCCTAAAGCACTGCCATATATTGTTTTATAGTGACGATTTGATCTTAAACGTTACAAAAAGCCAAACAAAATGAAGGGCCGCCAAATAAAATTTTGATTTGGCGCGAAATCAGAATTTTTTTTAAATTTTTTTTAAACATATCAAAATTTCAGTCAAAAAACAAAAAAAAAAAAACAAAAACCGTTCAACTCTTTCTCCTTGATTACAATTTGTGCCCTAGTCTATCAACACTTCTTTTGCTGAGTATCAGAGCCTTCATTCATCCTCCACCGCGGCGTGTTGAGGACGTATCAGAGCTTTCTTTTGATTTCAAGGTTAGTCTACTCTCTCTATTTCTCTTTCTCTATCCCCCTCTTTTTTCTGTGTCTCGATTTCTCTTTACCCCTCTCTCTCTTTCTTCTACTGTCTTAGTTTTTCTTTCTCCCTCACTGTCTTCGGACAAGTTTGGGTCCATGGAATTCATTGTTCAAATCTCCAAAACTTCTGTACTTTGAAGGATTTCAGGAACACATTGAATGATTTTGATTTGGGAAAATAATTTAGAAAATAGATTTATTAACACATTTTGCATTCTGATTATGATATTCACACACACACACATATTTGATTATCTATGATATTCATATTTTAACCAATGTAATTAGTGAAGTGAATGGATTGTTGTTGATACTACACAGTAAAATCTCATGCTTGAGGAATTATTATGTATGCTAGATATTTGATAAAATGCCACAATGGAGTAATAGTGCCTACATTTTTGTTTACTTTTGTTCTATTTGTTCTATTTTTTTTTTCTTTTGAGAAAATTGTTGTCAATGAAATTAATGCACAGTTTGTAATGTTTTGTTCGCTTAATAATGTGATTAGAGAAAATTGTTGCCTCTTTTTATTGTCATTGCTTTTATGAAAGTAAAATAATAAGAAAAGGATAATGGAACCATACACATGTTCAGAGTCCCCATTTTAACTAAATATGGGTAATGAACAAGTTCAAAGCCCATACCTTCAGAATCTTACACAAAAAAATAATAATCCGAAGGCCTCCCCATTTGTTTGCACAAAATAGAAAGTATATAGACATGGGATCAGCCCAAATAGCACCAGCCAAAGCACTGTGACTAGCCTCCCAATAACTAATATTCCCATAAAATTTTATTAACAAATGGCACCAGGAGTGCAAATTTACAGCTAACTTTTTTCCCGTATATATTATTTGTAGCAAATTTATATTTCAGCATATTTGGTCCACAAATAACACCAGGATGAAACTACTTTGTTTAAAAAAAAAAACCATATTTGCTAAAACAAACTCATTAAAAAATTCACAAACTCAACTGGTTCTACAATAAAATAAAATCAGAATCTAATCAAATCAGCCCCTTATAACCCTTTTTTTTTGAGAAATTGAGCATCAGCCTTTCCTAAACACAATTTGGTCTTCTATTTTAATTGCATAACTTAGTCTATGAACTTTGGTGCTTACTATCACTATATTCACTAGATAATGTATGTTAAACGACAGTTTGAGAAACAATTTGGTTTTTCAAAAGTATTGTGTGACCTCTAAAGAACCCTGTTTTTCATCCCCCTTATTCAACAATTCTCCTAAAAAGATAATATATTCACCACTTCAAGAGGAACACTGAAGATTTTCCAGCACTCCACTAGATGGCAAAACCTCATGCTCATCATGCTTGGAGCATTGTCTTTGGTAGATAGAAGAAGACAGCCAAGCAGCAAACCAATATGGGTAACAACAATAGGTAATTGGCATCATGGAATATGTGACACCACTCAAAAAGGTAATGATCCCCTACACAGCCCGTAGGGATAGGCATGGAAACAACTAATAACACCCATATGTAATGTGTACATTACCAAACAGATAGGAGTGTATAAATAATATACAGAACACTATTTCAAACAAGTCTCACAATATAGGGGCTGCATCACTTGACCCACAATATATGTACCACTCAACACTGAAAACAGTGTAGAGGCCTGAGGTAGAGCCCTGGTATAATAAGACCTGCAGCAAACCTCAATCATTTTGATAGCTTGATCCCTCAACCCACAATAGGATATAACTCTCCGAAATGATAGCTAGATAATGAGATTAAAGCAACCTAAAATAGCAAATAATTTAGAGGCTCCATCACTCAACCAACACTCAAAGAATCTGGGTAGCACATAGCTGGTCTCCACTTTGATTAACAGAGAGTGGAAACACCAAGAACATAGATGTGAACTATATAAATAAATAATATATAGAACACTGTTTCAAACAAGTCTCATAATATAAGGGCTGCATCACTTGACCCACAATATATGCACCACTCAACACTGAAAACAGTATAGAGGCCTGAGGTAGAGCCCTGGTATAATAAGACCTGCAACAAACGTCAATCATTTTGATAGCTTGATCACTCAACCCACAGTAGGATATAACTCTCTGAAATGATAGCAGGATAATGAGATTAAAGCAACCTAAAAGAGCAAATAATTTAGAGGCTCC